AGTTCGAAAAAAGGTTGGCAGATAGCAGGTAGAATGAGTAGAAATAAAATCAGTGTTGAGATTGGTTTAAAAGTAAGAAATCTCTTCAACTTGATTGCAGTCCTTGAACAACAGCAACGCTATACGAATTTTAAAAAATTGACCCAGAACGAAACGAAAAATATTGCGATGAAAACTAAATGCCCACATTTTGCACTATTTATGATATTATTTATTAGGGTGGTTTTGATGAAAGCTCTTGTGAATTAATTATGCGATGTAATCTATTATTATTATTATTATTATTATTATTACTATTATCATTATTATTATTGTTACTGTTAATTATGGGAAAAAGAAGAATTGAACACAGTGTCATCATTCACAAATCCCTACACAATTAATGAATGCTGTGAAATAGATGCTATGCTGTTGGCAGTTTGGATGATTTTCATGTCCATTTTATTTGTTTGTTTCAGATCTAATTGATGCTTTCATTTCTAGTCTTAGGAAGGATAGGGATTCCGAATCGCATTTACTGCAAAAAAGCGATAAATTTCGCCCGAGTCGATCGCAAGCTTCCTTTGGGAAAATCATAAAAGTGGAAGCTTACGCCGCAAAAATCTTGAAAAACTTGAAATGCGTTCATATGTTTGGAAATTCATTGAATGGAATGAGAAAATTATCAATTTGTTCTCTTTTGTCGACTTATTCGAACTATTCGTAAGCAGAGAGAAAGAAATTAGCTTACCCTGCGCCCCTTCTTTTCAAACATTTTCTCTTTCGTTGCGTCGCGCTTGGTTCCTTCTAGTTTGCTGTACTTTTACTTATGGGAATTCGCATAGTTTCACCTCTTGGCTAAATGTTATTGCTCCTCGTTAATACGAACAAGGCAAACCGAGATTTTCGCAAGGCTTTTCAACGCGTTTCGCTCTCGGCTTTCTCGAAATTCTCACTAAACATTACGCTGAATACGCTCAATACGCGTACGCACAATGGCTCACTTTGTAAGATGACACTGTGCAATTAGTTTCAATCGTCGAGCTTTTGCAATTTTCTTCGCTCCATTTCTGAACAGCATTCACGTTAGGCTGTTCATATGACTTCTTAACTGCAATTAAAAAAATTATATTTTGTTAAGTTGTCTTAATAATTTGTTAATTGCAGATAATTAATTAATTGAACTACTACTACTACTTGAAAATCAACAATCAAAAGATTATTTATGATAACCGACATACGTCAGATAGATTTTCTTGAAAATTCTGACAGTGAGAAATTTTCAAATGTCAAATTTTTCGTATAAGATATGAAAAAAAGAAAACGTATGAGAGATTTCTTCTAGAAGCTTGCCTTTTCTTTATAAATCGAATGAAGTCTCAACATGGCTTTTATAAATATTATAATACATTTTTTCCTACGCATATATATATTATGTAAGTGCTTTACACTTCCATTAAACAATTTTTGAAAGAAATTCAAACTTACCCTACTACACTATTCTCTCATTTCTCCATTTGTTCTTCGCCTTCCTTGCATTTATTTATTTTTACTACGTACGCTTCATATCGTCTATGAAATGTGCCACCAATTGATCACTTCCCATCTTTGAAATACTCCCGGTCGGTAAGCTCTTCTTATTAATTTTTTCCGATTTGCGACGAAGGGGTTTGCTTTTATTCAAATTTTGTGGACTTTTGCAACTGCTGCACACGTTATTGCAAATTATTACAAATTAACAAATTAATTAAATTATTACAAATGAAATTAAATTATTTGAAAAGTTTATTTTAAAGTTCTTCATTTAACTCTGTTCCGTTTAATATTAACTCTTTTTTTGTCCGTATGCTGAACAGAACAATTTTTTTATACAATCTTCTGACCAAATCTCGTCATTGAATTGTTCTACATTGTGGAAATCTTAAATTTCAAATCAAAATTTACAGACCGCTTGCTACGATTATTTCTGAATTAAGAACAAAAATTTCGTTTCTATGGTAGATTTTCACGGCCTACTTACATATAGTATTCAAGGTATAAATGTGATGAAATACTTCTCAAGTCAAATACATGCATATATTTTACATACATATACTTATATACAACTATACATATGCACACATTCATATTTATATATATATATATATATATATACATATATACCTAGATAGACATATTTTTTTATTATTATTTTTCAATCACTGCAACATCTGCTTTTGATAAACTTTTTCAAATGATTTCTTTTCAATTTTTCAAGTTTTTATTTATATTTTCTCTCAAATCAAAGAATTATTTATATATTTAATTATATATTATTATTATTATTATTATTATTAATTTCGCCAGAGAAATAAATTGTAAGACTAAACTCTTAAAAGCACTAGCATCTAAGGCTATCGGCTTTTTATTAAAAACTCTACCGCACTTGAGATTCGAACCCACGACCATTGACTTGGTAGTCGAGACTCTTGCCTACTCAGCCACTCAGGCGGATTAATTATATATTAAGTGCCCGACTTGTTGAAGGAGAGAATTGCGAATGATTCCTAATAAGCGAAAATAGCTTATATCATACTCTATCTCTCACTCGCTCTCTCTTTCTCAGTATTTATGAGAATTCAAGACAAATTCATTGAATAAGTCACACTGATATAAAGAAGATCTCCGGAGCTTCCTTCCTTCCGGGAATTTAAATAAAACGAATATGTCCCTCATTGCTCGATAATGTGTATAACAATATACAAACATATTAATGATATTCTTAAATTTGATAAATTTCTCTTTTTTGAACTTGTCTTCTTGATTATCTTCTTAAATTGCTTATCTTTCCTAAAAGGTCAGCCTTGACTGGCTATAATGATTGCACTTTTATTTTATTATTCGAACATTTATATGGGTAAAGGTTTAAAAAATGGTCTCTCTTTTCATCAAAATATTGCACCCTTCTTTACTAAGACAATACGCTATATTTTGCCGAATTTTGCTGCGTAGTATCAAAACCGAAGTAATTTTTTTCAAGAGGAACTCTTTACGGAAGATTGGAGTTCATTCTCAGTGGCGCCCATTCTTGAGCAAATTTAATGAAAATATCTAAAAATTTGCGTCACAAGCATACATTGGCGCACGTCAGATAGATAGACAGTAGAATAGATATTTTATTATTTTTTAAATCAATAATAAAAAGGAAACATTAGCTCGAGCAATTCTTTGCGGTGCATAAAGTCACTAACGTAACGTAATGATTATATATATGAAATTTTTTTTTTTTTTTTTTTTCACATTTTCCAATCACATATGATAAATTATTTGTTTTGCGGGTATAAGTTTTGTTTATATACGCGTAAGCATTTTCCTTGCTGTAGCGTTACTAATGGGCTTACAATTTTGGATTCACGTAATTCACCGAAAGCAAACATATGAAGCAAAATTCATGTTCACCTATACACATATAACTAACAATTTCAGGCTTAAATTGTGCATGTAGTAACATAATATACGAAAGCCCCTCAAGCAGAAAGAATTCAATAAGAAGAAGACAAAAGACGAAGAAGAAGATATGAAGAAATAGTTTTGAAACGAATTAAAAGCGAGTTTATAAAAATCCCCATTTACGCTGATGACAAATTGAATTGTAAACATAATATCTAGCGGGACGGATGTTTACTGGTTTAGTTGAACAAAGTTAATTTTCATTAAAAATGATTATATGTAAAATTTCGAATCACCTTCGATTACAATTTCTAAAATTTGTTGCTGTTTATTTATACGTTACCAAGGCTCAGCCAATTACGAGTGGAGTACTATCGTCTCCGAATCGAAAAGTAGATCGCTACACTGCCGTGCGAACTATTAATGAGAATTTGACAGAAAGTCTCCTCCGCAATGCTTCGGATAACTTTCTTAAATCAAATGCAATAACTGACAAGAACTTCACGCTCCTGAAAGCAGAGAATCACAGGTTAGATACATATTGATATACATTTTTCAAAATTCACGTAAAAGTCGCTTGTTCGCTTGTTCGCTTGTGCCGAATGCCTTTCGAAAATTCTAATAAATTTAATGATTTTTTCGATTTCGAATCGTTACAATTGCATTATATATTAAACAATTCCGGAAATGATGCCCTTTATGCAACATATATTCCACATTAATTGTGACAGGATGAACGGGTTTTAAGTTTTTTATCTGTTATACCAATCGATTCAGCAAATAATAATTTTTTGAATCAATTTAAGTTTATCTGTCCGTCTGTCTTTCTATCCCATTATATATATTCGATTCAACAAACTGATGGAAATTTTCGAGAAATTTGAACAAAATTTTGGCAAATCGACATGTTTTGATAGAAGATCCCATGCCATTGAAAAATAATTGGATAGGACCTTTTCTAGGATCCATTACCACGTAAACGTCTTCGTTTGAAAAAGTTAACAAAGTAGTAAGTAAGTAAGTGACAAAAAATCGATAACGTGAACATGCAAATACTAGTGAGTTGGTTGATACTACGTCTGCCGTAGAAACTTTATATCGATCGAGAATGAGAAAGAAAAGAAAAGAAAGAATGAATAAAGAATTAGACAAGAAATCAAAGATTAGGACCTGTTGTAATAAATACAAGGATTCTTATACGTGTAATGAGTGTTGCCGTGTCACGTGACTCATCTAAAGGCAATCCGAAGCTCCAGGAATATGATTTCTAACTTTGGATTTCCTCGGGCGATGTGCAAACCGTTGAGTCAAGTATCTCAATCCCATGCCACATTTCGAGAGAAGCACACATTACGTTAGCGTATTAAGTGAATGCGACAAGTTTTGGTGACGAAGCCTTATCATTTTTTTTTTTTTTAACTATCTCGCACATAAATATTCTTTTAAAAGTATAAGGTCTAATATAGAAACAGTATTGTTAGATGAAAACAGATACACACACACACACACACACACACACACACACACACACACACACACACGCATCCACGCAAAACCATGATTTGATAAATGAATTTTTGATGATAAGTCTCGACTGCGCAAATTTATTTTTAGAATTTCTTCCCATCTGCAGGCTCTACGGAAAAGTAAATTTTCACGATAATAAGCGATAATTTTTCATATTTTAAGATGACAATAGCTGCAGTACAATATTGGGCGAATTGGTGTAATGTGTTTTGAAAAGTCGATTTGATACCGTCATCACTTTTTAATTTTTTTTAATTCTGCATTTTTAATTATAGAGTAATAAAATTAATTTTAAAAAATTAAATGAAATTTTTAATTTAGAAATCAGTGATGACATGAGAAATGAATGATGAAATTTTGATTATTCTTAAATTATGTTTAGAGATGAAAATGCCACAAATTTCACTACCAACTATAACATGTATGAATATTCGTCTGGTTTCGTGCCGATTAAATTCCCGGATACCGAGGAACCAAGCTCTCAAACTAATCACGTTCGAACTCGAGATGATAATTTCAATTATTGGTCCTCTGGCAATATAAAGGTAGAAATGTCGCCGCACAAACAAAGGAAACGTAATCAACTCAATGCACGTATGTGATAAAATAAAAATTATTATTATTAATGAACAGAGAATAATTCAATTTATTTTATATTAGAATATTATAGTAATAATAATCCCGATCATTTAACTAAAATTGGAAATGCTGCTAAAGATGATGCTAACGCTAATCTTCCCAATTATCGATCGTACAATGCAGACGCTTACAACGGATATTACGTACCCTCCACGAAGCAGTATAGCGTTCATGCAACTAGATATTCGATTGGTAATGAAATGGAAGAAAATATACCATTTGATGTTTACGGCGCAGATGGCCAATATCCCGGTTCGGGGGGACAATATTCATATACTCTACCAATTGCACAAAAGTCGATAGCTTCGAAGAATCGATCTGAATTATCGCATAAAGCACTTTTAGCCAAAAGTTTTCTCATTCCATTAGCTAGTGCTGCAGTGTTAGGCATAGCGGCTGCCCTAGTTAGTAATCCTCTATTATTACAACTTGGCACTGTGTCCAGTGCTGGACCTATAGTTGTTGGTAAACGAAAGCGAAGACATTTGCTTAGTTTAGCTTCAAATTCAAAGTAACTAACGAAAGATCATTTTTGCTCATCACATCCATGCACATTATCAACTGCATTAACCTAAGACCATTGCCTATTTAACGATAATAATCACTTAAACTTAACAGATGAGATACTGCGTCAATATATATATCGTTTGTCAGACAGATAGAATGGAAATTAAGAAAGTAAGAGAGAGAGAGAGAGAGAGAGCTATAGCTATCTAATACTAATAATCATTTAAGCTAAATGTCAACACAAGCAGATCCGGAGACGAGATATTGCGTTAATGCGCATATGTTGCTAAATAGGCAATTAAAAATATGTCAATCGATCATGCCCCAACCATGAAAGAAGGTAACCTTGTAGAATTAAGTATAAAGAGCAGCTTAGCATCTAGGATTCCTTATCTATGATCCAGGGATGTGCGGGTCTGATGAGCAGCAAACTCCCACTTTTATCAAATCTAATCAAAGCACATATCCATGACTACTTTATACTAATAGTTCGATTTCAATCTTTATTAACGCACAGGTCATAGGTTAAGTCAAGTCTTTCAAATCGGGGAAACCGACTTTTAACTTTAAAAACTCTCCGCTTACGACCGTCACTGCTTATCAGAAATAAATGAATTGTTGTCTTTGCTTCCGCTTATTAAAATTAGGTTTCAACTTATTATGAAAAGTTACATTTAAGGTATAAAAGCAACCGTCAGAGGCTTTATATAATGTGTTTACCTTCTTCTTAATAGAATAAGAAGTCATAAGACGAAAAAAAAACTGAAATAGTTAAACAAGATATTTCTCCTATATATAGAGATATAAAAGTGGTTCGTTTATCTCGAAAAAAAGCGCATAAATAAAAACATGAGAATTTTATTTTTTTTATTATTTATTACGAAAATCATTAATACGATGTGTGGATCAAACAAATAAATAACAAGTAAGGAAACTATATTTTGTCATGACCGAATCTTTCATGCCCATCGCAGTTATCCGGAAAATGCGTGACAAAAAATTACAAAAACTCAATTTTAATACTCTATAGTGTTAGGTGGACTCGGCTGATTTTTTTCTATTTTCGGAATAAAAGTTAAAATTTATGTCGTGTAAGTCGTGTACTTTATGAGTAACAAGCATAAAACATAGAAAGCATTCATGGCACGTGACCTTTGTATACTTTGACCGATTTAGAGCATTTCCAAATGCTTATGCAAATTTATAGGTGATATATTCAGTTTTGCGAACGGGAGATTGTTCAGCATAGATACTATAGTTGGGCCGATGGACCGATGGATAGACGAACAGATCAACAACTTATGTGCTTTATGCGGTTGTTCAAGACTGCTTCGGCGCTTTTCAAAAGATATTGAAAAAAAAAAAAAAAAAAAAACTAGATTTTGATACACTATAAAATTGGGTAGGCTTGGTCAATTTTACCCATATTTGTATAGTCACTGCACTATCGTTCATAGAATATATTTTAACGCAAGCCATACAGTTTTATTTAATTTCTTTTGAAATTAAGTCCATACCGCCAAACTGTGAGTTTAAGAATAGTATAGTTTTTATTTCTCCATCCCCTTAGATGATCTGTTTACAAATTATTTAGTGGCATATTACAATCCAACTCTCTTGACTCGACTCACTATTCGACTGATTAACTTTGCCTTCCGCAACCATTCTGTTTATAAACCTTTTTCCAAGCAAGTTAGCATTACGTAAATGTATCGCGAGATTTTGAACCGTTAATCCATGTTCGCGCTAAATTTTCGCCCAATTGTTGTTCGTCGTCTTTCCGCCAGTCGTCAGTCGCCAGCTGCATGACGCAGGTAATGCGCCATGAATGTGCACTTGGTTTGCTTCTTCTTTACAATGACCGAAATCGTTCGAAGGACATGCTTGCAATCTCCACACATGTCTACGCAACAAAAACTATGAACATCTTTGCTTTCCGTGTTTTTTGCTTGTCACTCATGAAGTACATACATCATACACTATAAAAAATTTCAACTTTTAGTCTGAAAATAATTACAAAAGATCAGTTGCGTCCATCCAGTATATGAAACTTTATGTCTTTTTCCTTTTTCTAGTTAGTTAGGTGATGAGTATAAACGATTCGCTCACGACCGAGTATAGTTCACTCATTAATTTTTATACAATTTATTTTTCTCACTATTCTAAAGTTACAATCAATACAAGGAAAAATGTACGTTGTATGGATTTTTTCTCGCAAAATTGAAAATAGACGATAACGCGTGATCATATAACGTCAAGTATTAAAAATGTATTTTTTTTTTTATTTTTTAAGTAAACGGTTAATAGTTGGATTAATATATGACGAAATTTTAATGTAAAACAGGTAAGGAGATTATAGTCGGGCAAGGCAGATCGAACAATACATCAAAAATTACACACAATTTTCATGCAAAGGCATAATTTTCGCGGCGGCCTTCACATTGCAGGACGCCAAAAACATCATATGCCGCGTTCTGAATTTAGTGAATTTATTTTGCTTTTTAAAAATTTTATTCTTTTTTCCGTTACTTTTATAAAATATCAGAAATTAAGCTTTACTCTACATTCAAGCTTAGTTTTGCCCACAAATAGTAGAGTTTTCCATAAAGCATATGCGGAAAATTTCAGTCTTGTATCTTTCGCAATTTGTGAGTAATGAGTAAAAATCGAAAAATTTCTGCTTAAAAGAATGGAATTGTATTTTACTACGGACGTGTGCTGCTGTGTTTAACCAGTTTGGCCCATTTTCGATATTAATCTGCTTACGGAAATTTCCAATGTTTCTACCAAACATGAAATTGATATAATTATTTTTTTGAGCGAAAGATTGCCAAGAACACCTACCAAACAGACCGAAATTTCGCATCTCTTGCACCTTAGATGTTACGAAATATTGGAGAAAATGAGAAGAAAAGGTATCATTCTACAGACAAGTCCATAACAAAACTCGAAAAACAACAAAACTTTTAATTTTTTAGTAGAAGCTATGGATACTTCAGAACCGCTGTCAACGTGATATTCACTTGAAGGTTATCTTGATGAACGTATACTAACATTTTTTTTTGGAAATACTTTTAAATGGGCATACAACACATTCCAAAGGCATCCGTTAGTTTATTGGTATTAGAATAAGTAGAAATTAAAAGGCAAGTCTTTAAGTTGCAACTTCTTAATTGCGAATCATATGGCATAAGTGGCACAAGTATTCTTGTCGTAGCGCTTGCGAGAACGATCAAATTTTTCATGAAAAAAATTCTTGTGAAAAGTCCAACAAGCATCCACAAAGCGGAAAAAAAAGAAAAATTCCTGAAAAGTGTACAAAAAAAAAACAAAACAATCCTTTTTTTTAATTGTTAGCGTAGCGCTGGAAATTGCAATAGTGTACAAAAAAAATCAAGTAAGAATATATTACATACCCTACACCACATTGTCTAATATATACATATATATATATATATATATATATATATATATATATATATAGGCATGTTTTTCATGTGCGTAGTTCTGGGGAAGCGGGTCCAAAAGGGAATCTAATGTAGTAAAAATTTAATCATTACATAGGACAAGACCCAAAAATAGGCGTAGATGGTCCAAATGTTGTAGCGTTCTGTTTTCATAATGTCATTCAACTAACTTTGCGTCGTATAAGCTGACAAAAGTCTTTCGAAAAGAATTACAAAAAAAAAAAAAAAAAAAAAAAACCAAATCGTAAACTCAAGCAATTAGAAGCAAGTAAAAACATTACACTCAGGCATGGCCGATCATTCAATATTCTACACCACATTGCCTCATGCAGTTATTCAACCGTAATAATACACCAAAAATGACACATTGTTTTCATGCAAAGGTATAGGTTTGATGAAAGTCCGCATATTGGAAGATTGACGTCCGAAACATCATATGCCATAATTCAGCCTTAGAAAGCTTAATTTACTTCCAAAATATCTTATAATTATTCAATTTCCGCCGTAAAAAAGCTGAAATTGAATTTTCTCTCTATATAAGGGCTTTCTTTTCATTATAACCAGATCCAGATTCCCTACGGTTAATTACCTTGTCAAATTGCTGCTAAGGATTAAATTTCGTCATATAATATTCAAAGTGAAATCTTTTTCTGAAATTTTCACTGTTCATGAGAAACCTTATACGGAGTGGAGTGGCTTCCATGTGTTTCAAATAAGGACCCACTTAAAGGTTATATCAAATTACAAGCATGAACAAATTTCCATCATAGAAGACTGACAATTAGGACCTTCTGATAAATAAAGATTTAAATTGCATAAGAATCCTTACATGCGGTGATATCCAAAAAAAAAAAAAAAAAAAAACCATGCCTACGCGGTCCAAATTGAAATTGAATATGAAATATTTACCATAGGAAAAATCATCTCTCATAGGCATGGTTATTTGAGATCGAATGGATTTAAAAAATTGCGTCAGGCGAGCTAAATTTTTCATACGACATTCATTAGAATGTCGGAATGAGCTTTGTCGAATAATTTTGAAAATTGCAATCTTCTTATCTATGAAACGACTTTTCAAAATAACGCGTACAGATGAAAAGCGACTGAAAAATTATTCCAAATAGGACCATCTTGATTAATCCTCCTCCTCATCCATGAGTGAGAGCACGTCAATGATCCCAAATTTCATCGAAATATCTCAAAAACTGCAATCTGCTGGTTAAACACAAGACTACATGGTCAGTCATCAGATGGACAGATAAACTTTCAGATTTCAAATGATTCTGATACGAGCGATATGATATAAGATGGGTCTATCTTAAGCCTTTCTGTGTTTTATATACGTCCACACAAACTTAATATACCTTGTACCAGAAGTGATATGGTGGTGTAGGATATAAATATAAATATATATATATATATATATATATACATATATATATAAATAAATATGTACAAATTCGCGACTATATGCATAATTACCATATATCATATACTACTATCGGTGCGCGCCCTTAATGATCGGTTACGATCGGCAGTTCGTCAACAAGTCTCAAGAGACATTTTGTTAACTGCAGCTTACAAATACAAAATTGTCGTATAATTTACTCGCTGTCTCTCTCGTTTACATGCATTCAAGGACTTTATTTAGACACAAATAAACTTTGTAGCACAAATAGGATTTGTTATAATTTAATTGCATTTCTTTTTTTATATTTTCTTTTGTTTTGTTTTGTTTTGTTTTGTTTGTTTAATTGTTTTTTTCTCATTTTCAGTGTTGCTATAGAAAAAATATAAATTTTAAGCACATATCAATAAACAACAATAAATTAATTAAATTTAAATAGTTATTTAAGGTTAATGGAATTATTTTATGCCTGTGTACATATTCATACTAACAAACGTACATTTAGTTTATAATTAACTACATATACATATATATTTATATATTATTATTTATTAGGGGAATATATACAATACATATACATATACAATAGTATGGAATGGGGAATTTCATTTAAATGGTTAAATTTACACTCATCTAGGATAGAAAATACAAATTATTATTAGCATGCAACACTTTTTCTACCTTCTTTACCTTCGTTAAATGTCTTTTCTGGTTTTGTCTCTTGCCTATATTAATAGTTTTTTTTTTTTTT